CGGTCAAGCCTACGCTCTAGGCCAGGGGCTAGGCTAGGCTATTTCCGCGATTCAGCTTATGGACCGAAATAGTCGTAGAGAGAGAAAGAGAGAGAGAGATATTCGGAACAAGAAACTGTTGGGATTGTCCACGAGAATCCCAGTGTATCTGACTAGCACGGGATTAATCTCACTTCTTTCCGATTTTTCATCACCGTTCAACACAGCGCAGCGTGCCGCTGAGAATGCGAGTTCTTGCTGTTCTTGCGACCGTTTAGTTTTCTAAACACATCGGGATTAAGATAGACAGTAATCTAGCAGACGTCGCTGTAGATCTCTGCGGATTATATAATGTCTCTTTCGAAAATACGTGGACACAGCGGCAAATATAAATGGCTGGCTTTCATATATGAAGGGAATTACAAGCGCCGGTTTATCTCGATTTGGTTGTCTTGTTTGAAAAACATTTTCGGGAATTCTTACTCTTCCTTTTTCATGTTTTAAAAATACTTGTAATAATGTAAAGCAGAAGATTTATTGCGCTAATCAATTAATAACATATATATATCATGGTAACTTTTATTATTAAATAATTACTACATAGCACATATGCTTTCGGCTCTACCATATATTGGAACGATAACAAGCGAAGAGTAGCAAAATTGCTTAACGTCTTCGATGAAATAAAAATCGTTCCACATTTTTTAATCAAGTTAAAAAAAAATATCTTTTTCAGAATTATATTAAATAAATTTTTTTATAATCTAACTTTCCTTATATTTTTTAAAATTATACTAATATTACATATACAAAGAAAAGAAATACGTTGGCTGCAAGAAGCCGAGTTTGGAACTTTTCATTAATGAAACATATTGGGGATCAATTAATAATGCATTTAAAAATTAAGGTGCGAAGCAATAACTATTTCGAATGATACAAGCAAGAAAAAACGAGATAGACAATGATTGTTTTGTCTAATATCGTCTGATTACTAATAAGTAAATCTACCCAAGTGATATGTGATATACTCCGACTTTGTTTTAAAGTCACAAATGTAGAACTGTGAAAAGTATTTCGCCCATCTTTCCACTTTTACCCGTAAGTGATTTTATGGACAGTTAATAGTTAACACCCTGTCAATTTTCACTCTTCTATCTTCAATAGGTAAGTACAGTGATAATGCATAAGAAACAAAATGACCGTTTATTGAATAATGTTTAGAATAATGTAAAACAATTTATTTTACACATTTGACGCCATATTTAAAATTATTTGCCCGAATAACTCTTATAGCGGTATATATCACCGTATTTTTTTCAATTTTTATATATATTTAAACAAATAATTTTCCAAATCTGATTTCATATTCGTAATTAGCAAACTATAAAATCTAGCTCCTATGTCTTGTATTACATTTTGTTTCTTATGCATTATTATTGTACTTATGGATGAGAAAGAAATTGAAGGGGTGCAGCTTATATAGGCAAAAATAGGAAGATAATTTTTAGTAGTTCTACATTTGTACTAAATTAAAAAGAATTAGAGTGTATTACTTGGATAGATCTTTACTTATAAGAATCGTAAGTGTGACGGACACATCTTAACATCTTTGATATAATTATATATGTTTAATAGAGATATTTCCTTTTATATCTTTATTTCCTATATCTCACTTGGATCCATAATTCAGAATTCAGGATAGAATTCTGTTTACAGTCTTATATGTCGTGTAAATATGAAAAGTATCTGAAAAATCAGAATATACGTACGTAAAAAAATATATATCAAAATACATACGGTATACATATTTAATAGTAAGTAAAAAGTCTGACACGAATTCTATATTGTCTAAGTGGCTTAGAGAATACGAGCGAAGAGAGTGTAATTCGAAAAGCCAGGCTTTTTTTCCTTTTAATTATCACGACGAGCGGCGGGTACGTGTCAACGGGCGCCCACGTTTATTCGTACTACTCGGGCCGCGGGTCCGCGGTCGCTCTCCGGTCTGTGTACAACGGCTATTTCCACTGCCGACGGCGACGGTGCGACAGGTGCTAAGCTATCCCAGGCGGCGGCGCGATGCTGCATCGACGACGACGAGGTGAGGATTTCAAAATCCGCCGACGAGAGAAGCTCGCGACAGAGTATTTTCAATCGTCTTTACGGTCGCTGGGCGATATTCCTCCGTCGCGCGTCGCGTCGTCCTGGGAACGGCACCGGACCGATAGGTGAAGGCGAACGGATAGGTGGGTTCGCAGAGCATATTTCTGGCAGTCACGAGATACGATTTTACGGGCGGCAAGCGAGCGGTAACGAGCTCGTCGTGGAGAAAGAGAACGAGGAGCAGAGAGGGAAAGAAAAGAAGAGGGGGGAGGGAGACAGAGAGAGAGGGGAGGGAGAGCCAGAGACGGAGACAAAGGATTACGCGTAATATGCATGTGACGATGAAGGGAAATAGAGAGACGAGGGGTGTTTGAAGAGGACAGACTCGCGTTGCTTTTGGTAGACTCGACATTGCCGGCAGCCAATTTTCGGGGAAATTCCATTAATACCTACCCGTGGCTTTGTCCCACTTCGAATTAATGATTCGTCGCCGTTCTGCACGTTATACATTGAGATAAATCATTTTGATGCGAAGCATTCCTGATTCATCCCTTTCATGCCGCACACGTAATACTTGACAAATTTGGTGTCAATTTTTTCTTAAGCTCTTTGCAATTTTTTTTCATTGTGTATACATACTCGATGTTATAGATACTTCAATAATCATTTGGACGAAAAATTTTGCAATATATAGATACCACTCAAATCACAATGGCAAACAAATTCATTATAATAAAACATATGTTTTTAACCGAGATTTAAAAAAATATTAATCATTAATTTAAGTTGATAACTCGATATCATCAAAGCAATCACTCAAACATTTTAATAATATTCAGTCTGTCGTTAAAAGAAACATGAAATATGACAGGTGATATTGAAATTGATTAATGGTGCATAAGGTGTAGAAAATTATATAATGACGATAAAACAAAACTTACACATCATACATGATATAATAATCTTGCGATGATGAGTGATCATATGATCGTATGATAGATGTTCCGGTATGTTGAAGAACCTCTTAGGAGATCGCCTAGGACTTCAATTTCACAGCCGGCGTGCGTGTAGATGCAGCTGCCAAACGTGTTTACGTGTGTCGTGATCCAATACCGTTTTTTTATTATATATGTTTGAGAAATGTCGTCCGCCCACGCCGACGTTATATTTTCTGTATTTGTACACGTTGATCGTTCGCCAGAATTGCATTTGCGCATGTGGAACCGCATGAGATTTATGTGTCAATGTGATTTTTTTCGACGCGTTAGATCGTTAAATTATAAAATAGCGTGTTAAATAAGATTAAGACAGCAAAAAGACATAATTATCTAATAATTAACTATAAATGTTAATTGTTAAATTAATCGCACTAGAAATTAGTCTGTTATGTAAGGTCTCGCTCTCCTTCAAGCACAGATTTGTAACTCAAGGATCCGTTAAAACAGTATTTACACAACGAATTTTCAGTTATAGAAAAATTGGCTGTAAATTTTTTAAAGACCATATCTTTAAAGTGTAACAAATGTAATGTGACAACGATGAATTCTTTTGCAATGTCAAATTTTACAACAGATCACGATCCGTTGTGGAAAAAGATAGGCAGTCTTAATCTTCAGCTTTTATTTTACTTCTAGATCAGATCGAGCTCGATTGCATCGCGAATATCCAATCAATTTCGAGATGTCCCAATTTTCGCAGTTTTTTAACCCAATTCCATAACCCTGGGCCCGAGCCCACGCGGGCGACCTTTGCCTCATCTACGCGAGATATGAGAACGAGGGGAGGGACCGTCTCTCGAGGAGTCCACCTGCCATCGGATACCAGTGCGACCAAGCTGACTGTCCGGCCGCACGCCTACACAAATTGCTGCCGCATTATTTCGAGTGCTTTGGCCTTGGGTAACGGCCAGAGAAAACTTTTGCCGATATCCCTGCTTCTTCCTCAGGAGCACGATAAAGTGCGGACTACTTCGATCGGGAGGATGCATCATCCGGTAGCGTAATCGGCGGCCCTCACTCGCGAATTCTTTATTTTCAACACCTATAGATATGGCAACGGATACTTCGAAAGAAATATATTTAGGGACGATTTTTTATATTCCTTCTATAAAGATATACAAATAAAGATATAATAAAAATATAAGATTTACATTGCGCATAAAATTGAAAGAAAAAATTTTTTTCCCTAAAGGTAATAAGTGTATTTTGCAATATTATAGCAGAAAGCAGTCTTACTTTTTCAGAATATATACCGGACACCGAAGTATAGTTTCACAGAAATTCACCTCACTTTCTTTCGCAGATAAATTCCCGCGCGTTACTGAAAAAAAAAGTATCGCGGAAAACACACATGAAAGAATCCTAACATATGATTATTCGGAACGGTTGGGCGGTGACGAAAAGAAGAATATCGAGGGAAAAAGAACCTGACGAATGGACGTGTGTGGACGGATCGACGGCTCGCGATCGTGACAGGGATAATTGGATTTTTTTCAAAAAGGAAAAACGAGAGAGAATGTCTCTTTGGCAAGCGAGAACGGTGGATCACACTTCCTGCTCGACTCGAAAACCCGAGCTTCAAGCTCCGTCCGGCTTAGAATTCTCGAGCTCTCGCTACGAGTCATAATAATAACAACTCCCGCGAAGATTCTGCTGCCGAGCTGAATCTTAAATTTAAACAGAATGGCAACAGGCAACAGGCGAAGCGTAAAATGCTCATCGTTTCTGCATCTTGGACCCGTAACCGTTCCTATGCTCGCTGTCTTTTACAGAACGCCAAGCAGCTTTGTTGTTTACGTCACAAATAGCTTTTTACACGCAGAGTCGCCAATCTTAATCTCAATGATAAATCCGTTCACCAACCTGGAGTCGATGTTCTCAGAGATCCTGGCTGCAAATCGAGGGTAAGAAAAGACATGCAAAATAGTTACAAGTTGCAATATTTAATCTTTTATATTATTTAAAAAATATATCTCATTCACGTCATATACTTAAAATCTTATCTTTTTAAAAACTTAATATTTTTTAAACTTAATGTATTCGATGGTTAATACATTCTTATAATGCATAAAAACTTTAGATTTTTTGCTATATCTTAAAGATATTTACAGTCTGTTTAAGAACTTCTCTGTAACTTCTGATGCATCACCCACGCGAAAATCCCGCCGGAAACGACTATACTGCTCCTGTAGTTAACAAAAAATCAGCAACTTATATAAACATACATCACTTGACAATAAAAAATCAATAAATAAAATTTAAATTTAAATATTTGAATTTGCCAAACAATTCCGTAATTAAAGCACCGTGAAAGGATTTAATTTCTATATAATCATGTATTCTTTCTTTCGTCAATAAGATGAAAGTCAACAAGAATGTTGGACGAAAGTTTTATTCGAGGAAAACTCGCATTGCCATTATCGATTATAAAAGGCGTTTTAAAAAAGAATCGCGGAAAAAAAATCACGAAAATCATCGATGAGCACCGAGTCTTTATTCTTTATATTAAATTCAGAAAAGAATTTCATTACATAGCACACGCGTGCGAATGCAAACGAGACGGGTTTGGTGACCTAAATATAGCATTTTCATTGCACTTGGAACGCAGTATAATGATGAGCGCGGATTGATATATCGATCGTACGAAATGGGATAGCCAGGAAAACGATAAGGAACGGCGAGTCTTTCACCCTCGAGCGTTAGGTAATGCAACGATCGACCAAGTCGTTCGTTAATGCCGACGCAACAATTGGCAACGCGAGCCGCGCGGCTTCTGCATCTACGGCAATGCCGACGCTAATTAGAGACTACGCAAACACAGCTCAATTGGGAGCCATTAATTTGTTTGACGTAATGCGATCAACGGCGTTCCGCCACTAATAGGGATCGGATCAGCCTTAATGCATCAGCGACCGTCGACTGAAATCGCGATTGCGACACCGGGAGGTGCTTCGAAGTCGTAATGCGTAGGGATCAGATATCCCAGAATCACTTTGTAACATTTTGTCGCGGCTACGAACGACCAATATTTGATTTCTCAAACCAGTCTCTTCCACATTAAATATCTTGATGCTTAAACAAATCTCCAAGTTTCCTTTCAAATCGCAGAATTATGCTTTATTGTGTCTTTTCAAATTACTAAAGATAATTTTTAACTAGTTGACTAATGACTTCCAAGTATTTTCGTCTCATTTAATAATACTTTGACTTTATCATACGAGACGGCGAAAGTTCCTCAATACAGAAGAAAAGCTGAAGCTATTTCTGTGAAATATATTTAACTTTGAAATAAATTTAATTCCTCTCTCTTTATAATGCATGAAGATCGTACGTAGAATAAACGTAGGAAGAACGCTTTATCGAATAGAGATTAAGTTACTTGCAGGTTAAAAAAGTTTCTGAGATATTTTGCAACAGCATGACATAATTAACTTATGTAAATTATAAGGCAATGAATGCTGATAATCTCGTCTAGATATGCTACAAATCGCCAATGAACAGAAATGCACAAGCTACTTTAAATAAGTTAAGCAGACCGGTACGTACGTCTGGTTTCATACGTCTGGTCTCGAAAGACGATTTGTTAACGGGACTCATGCCAAATTATCATGCGTTGTGTAGAACAGTGTAGAACACTTTGATTAATTATCGACTCTTATACATACCATAGGACAAGTTGAACCGAGGGTGAATGCCGTATCGGATTGTAAGGTGCCACGTACAGCTCCTTGTTTTGCTTGAAGTGCATCAATATGTCCCGTGCGCTGTGTAAAACGATTAAGGAAATCGCGTTTAATCGGTTGCGTCGCAAATGAGAAACGTGTCCAACAATTCCGATAGTCCCTCGCTCGACGAGATAAACGTAATAACGCGTTAAGCCAATTTCGCGTGACAAAAGTTGCACACGTGTGGCACATCAAGTGTAATAATAGACCGTTAATAATAATGTACACGGTGGTGTAGACAGTGGCGGTCTTTTAATAAGCGGTCTGTAAATATATCCGCAAAAGTTCGTTGGTAAAAGCGACATAAAGACGGGAACGATGCCAATGACGGAGAAAATCTTACGCGTACAATATGACGGCATCAAGTCAATTATCTGTCATTAACGAATATTCAGGAAAAGTTTCATCATAAAAGGGGTATCGTTTATCGACATTCCATGGGATAATTTAGTCTTTTAATTTCGGTGTAGGAAAGATGTCTTCTGGATTATCTGCTGTGCAGAAACACGCGAGGTGAATATTTCAAGTGCTCTCTTATCAAATCGTTTTGAAGATAAGGAGAAAAATTTTCGATACTTTCAAGAGTGATAACAGAGAACGCGCAATTTATCAACCGTGGTGCCGTGACGATAGGTCAGTGAGTGGCAGCGTACAAAATATTATTTTAGTTCGTTGATTTAAAAAAACGAAACTCACGAAGGTGCGCCGCGCGAACACCTGCAGCGTTAAAACGATCGCAAGGTATTTAATGCGCTCGTGATCTCAACATGCTCCCCGTAGAACAAGCGATTGTAACAGATTTACTGAATTTGCGATATATTCGACGGTTTGTGTTTTCAGACTATTCGAATTAGACAGACGCGCACAGTCGATCGATGGATCGTACAATCAGACTGGAAAAATAAACTCTCTGGCCGAACGTGTGCGGCGATTCACCGTTACGAAATGCTGTAATAATTCGATATAAGTAACATCGTGCCAATCCCCTCAGTCGCAAAATCTTTGAATAAATATTTTAAATATAATGACACAGCTGAGATACAGCATACTTTAGATTGAAAATATTGAGTCATCTCTTCTTGATCGCGAAGTTTCTTTAATTATATTTTACATCAAACTCTCTCACAGTAACTTTTTAAAATAAAAATAATTATTACAAATACTAATGGTTATCATTTCTTCAGAAATATTAAAATTAAAGAAATTCAAGTTGCCTGTGTTTTTTGTTATATGCCAATTCAGAGAATTAAAATTAATTTTTTAAATTAACGTTTTCTTAATTATATTCTGAATGCTCGAATGAGATCAATCTTTAATTCATGTGGAAAAGAGATAAACGTGCGAGTTTGCACCGTAATATAATTGTTTTATATGAAAATGGGTAAGTAAGGTACGCTAAAATCACATTTTGTACGATGCGTTGGTGAGTATATGCGGCTGCCCTTGAAGAGTATCCAAAATAGTTCCGCCACCTTGCACCGAAGCAGCTTCACACTATTATAAATTCCCCTCCCTTCTTTGTACAACTATGTATTCAATATTCATATTTATTCGATATGTGGAAGAATAAAATTGAATATAAGATACTTCTGGCCTTTATCAGATTTAATTTCTCGCGCTTTTCAACAGTTCTCAATTATATTATTTTCATACATATCTTGAAATCGGACGCAGTTGGCAGCGATCGCTTTTTCAATATATGCATAAAGTTGCGTCCTATTTCTCATACACTCAAAATTGGTGTAATGACCGTTATTTATATATGTAATGTAGAACACAGGAAAAACTATTATAAATAAGAAAAAGAAAGAGAGTTTGATAGAAGGTACAGAGTACTAACCTTCCGTGATTTGCTACTGCAACTAACAGGCGCTTCGGTGCATATTGTTTTACGTCAACGGCGCCAAACTGTGACATTTTTTCAGCTATCTGAAATCAAATAATTCATAATAATGCAGACTGTGATTGCAAACCATTCATCTTACGTACATCGCGATATGCAAAATATGCGAAATATGTATTTAAGATTTTAATTTTACTGTATTTGCAATATTATGTGCAATAATTAAAAATAATACCTGTGAGGCGGTTATCGGTTTCGATTCTAACGTTTTCACATAAAGCCATTTTGGTCGAGTCGATTTCGGTTCAGGTCCGTCAAATCTCTAGCAAATTTTTTCTTTATGAAAAAAATGGTATACGGTCGACTATTCTTCTCGCAAAGTAAATAATATATTTATCGTTAAAATACTTCGCATTATTCTTACCAAGTATGACGTATGGCCGCGTATAATATTTACACAATTTGCATATCTTTTTACGCCATTCATCAGTTCTGTATGCGTAAACTGCTTTGAACTTAAACTTCTGTAAAATTGTAAGAGAATAAAATATATATATGGTTACTAAATATGCTGAGTAAAAATTAATAATTATCGACTTTTAATTGTACATGCAATACGTAACTTACTGTCCATATTGTTTTGTAACAAATATATGAGCCAATCTAATAAATATGTAACCGGCAAAATAAGCATCCCATCCTGCGGTGTGATATCTATTATTGTTAGAAGACATAATATCTAAAAATAGGAAAATACTATAACTCATAAATTAACAGTAGTATTATACAGAATCGATATAAGAAAAAACTACATATCTACCATCTAATTCGTCTGAATTTATGAGCTGAATAATAGGCGATCCTAACGCTACACGTTTTCCTCGCTCGTCTGTAAAATAATTGACTAAAGCACTTAGAGTATTAAGTTTCCATCTTTCTGAAAAAAAAAGAATGTATTTAATATGTTTCTGCACAATAATCATACAAACTAATAAATAAATATTAAATAATTACCTTCTGTTTGGAGAATCTCTCTCAGTTCAAAGCTTAAAAATTTTGTGTCGTAAATTGTTGGAAATAGTTTATGTATATTATTCTTGAAATCAGTATATTTTCCTGCAAAACGTTATCCATAACTAATTTCGATTTAATTTTCACCCCCTTGGTGTATCGCGAATAACGGAAAAACTTAAAAAATAAATTATACATACGTGGTAATGGCTTGTAAAATTGTTGATGCATAAACATAAAATCTAAAAAAGAATTATGTCCAATTATAGGTTTTTTCAGACTAACCAAGAGCTTGAACACTTTTGAAAAACCTATGTATGACTCGAGCAATACATTTTCTAATATAGAGCCTTCTTCCTCTTCCAAAATTCTTCTTGAGTCTGGTGGCACTTTAATCACATTTACCTAAAAAGTTAAAGAAATCCTAAGAAATTTGAAAGAAAGTCTTTATTTCCTGAAAAGCAGTATGGCCATACATACCATATTGTTCCCCGAGTAGGTCCAAACATTTGGGAAACGTCTCCTCAATTCTTTATGCATATAATACTGTAAAGTTGGAGTAGGGGACTCAATTTTAAAAGAGTCTGTTTCACCAGCTGTTTTCAGCCATTCATATATTTGAACAATTACATCTTTAAAATCCTTTTCCTCTCCGTAAGAGAGAGACTGCTCCACATTGTCGAACAACGTGTTCTCTTGTAGCTGCTGCTGTAAGATTGCCTCGTCGATTTCATCCAGGTATGAAATACCTTCATAGACAAGCTAAAATTTTTTACATACACATAAATTCTTTATTCCTACAGAATGAAACGTCAGATATAATTTAAGATCCTAATTATAATTAGTAGTAACTCGCAGTAAAAAATAAGTTAATATCTGTAATGGATACATAAGATATGCATATATACTTTGTTGAAGTCGAATCTATACATGGTCAGGAACTCTAACGCTGTAGCCTGCGACAGAAATTGTCTGTTCTTTGACGGAATGGACCTAGGCAGCAGAAAGAAATTGAAGGTCTCCGCAGTGTACTTGGTCTCATCGTGAACTCGTCGAAACGCCGAGATACCGAATTGAATTATTATGTACGGCTGAATGTGCCTCCTGTTGTTCTCATAGCGCTCGTGTACGGAATCGAACAAGCTGCAACGAAATGTTGCGAAATGTGAAGCGTTGTTACCAATATTCATCGAAACGCTCGATTATACGTTCCCGGGACAGTGCAAACTAACCTATTTTTTGCATCATCGCCTTCTATACCTGTGAATTCCCCATCAATCGCTATAAAACTTGCATTTTTCAACGTGTGCTCCAGGTGTGGATACACCTTGTTGAAATTATGATTCGTGACTTCAATCATAATATTATTTTTTTTTCGTACGTGCGTAATAACCTTAAATTGCTGGACGACCTCATGCAAGACCGGTCTACTGCGCAACGCAAGTAGGAAGGTCCCAGCTGTTCGCGGCGGTATCGCCATCACGTTCTCTCATGGTACACTAATCTGCAATGATTTCCCTTGATGATACACATATGCACGAACAAAATATATTTGTCAAATGAAATTCTAATTGTGTTTATAAAGTATAATGTAATGTGTGATTTTACTTATGTACTTTCTTCAGCTATTTTTTGAATGCTTTTAAATACTTTGAACTCTTACAAATATTAATTTACATCTTTATATCATTTTTTTGCATTAAATATTATTTTTTCTTCGTCTTACTTGCATATTGTCTTTTTTATTTATTAAAATTTATACAACATTTTTAAACTAAAAATGAAATGTAGACACAAAAGTTTTATTTATATATGTATTTTTTTTATATTCTATTATAGACGATATTAAATTATTAGGGTTATTTATTTCTAACTCTATGGAAGATATACCACATATAAAACATTTATATTATATAGGGTCGGTTTCACCTTTTTTCGAATATTAGGAAAGTCTTCATTCCATAAAGACAGTAACAAAACATATTTAGTGTACCTACATTTCTCTGTGGACTTTATATATTTTTAAAAATAATATATATATAATATAAAATGAACGTAGTGTAATTAATAAATATTAATATTACATAATAATTGATTAATATAATTAACAGGATAATAAATTTCTTTCGCCAGTATAGAATAACAATTAAAGTAATTTAAATCGACCGTGACTGGCAATATATATATATATATATAACGTCTTTCCGATATGAACATTGAAAAACTGTGAGCCAACTTGGTTTTTTTTATATTGAAAAAAATATATATACATATATAATATATATTATAAGACAGACGGCATGGAAGGGATCGCCTTCTGTACTGCCTTCTTCCTTGTAATATATGTATATATATTTTTTTCTTCTAGGTTTGCGGATGGCCCTCGCGGACGCTGGCGCAATGCGACTTCTGCCCAGTGCAGTGCTCTGAATGTCAACGTGAAGAAACTCAAGCAAGCGCGGGCAAACGGCAAGAGCAACTATATGACTCTCTATAAAATAGCCAAATGCCTCGTCATCTAATTAGTGACGCGCATGAAAATTTTAGTAATTTTTTCGGTTTTTTAGCGAGATAGGGAACTAGCCTATCGTCGCAATCCCCAACCTGGGGGACCATTCTGGACCAACTGCTTTTTGGAAAATTAATTCCATGCTACATGGCTCTAGTGGACTCGAACCCGGTTTCACAGATTACGAGTCTGGCCCTCTACCACTAGACCACACTGCTCCCCAACAAACCAAGTTGGCTCACAGTTTTTCATTGTTCATATCGGAAAGACGTTATAGATTGCCAGTTACGGTCGATTTAAATTACTTTAATTAATATAATTAAGTAACTCTTAATATATAATGCATAATAAAATAATAACATGTCATATAATAAGTCAAATAGATAAAAATGTATAACGTGTAATGTGTTATAAAGATAAAACTGTAAACTAAAGTTTTCAAATATTAACGTATATTGATTACTCTTTCTTATTACTTCTTTGCAGTTAAATTAATATTTAACTTTTTACTGCTTAATTAATTTTGTTCTTTTAACACGTTATTCATTAGGTAAGTAAAAAATAAGTAAACTGTAAATCGTTATAAATTAAATATATGTCTATTGTCAATAGAAATATGTAGAAAAGTGCATAACGTGCATATATAAAGCTCACAAAATAAGAGGCCTCAAGCCTGTTATCATCGAGATGAGTTAAGAATAAGGGAGCGGGAAATAATTAATATAAGAATTCCCAAGAATGTGCAAAAAGTGAAAACAACAGACCATAATATTTAAACATAAATGCAATCGAAAACGTATTGTAATAGAAAATATTAAAGTTCTAAAGAGAAGTGATTAATGTTACAAAGTACTTATAATCATTCCAACTTTCGCGTCTCGCAAAGAAGATAATTCACTTATCATAAGAACGCGGTTTTTAATTATTTCGCGCTATTATAATAATATCGTTGAGGAAAGCTCGAAGTGAGAAGAATACCTTCTCGCGAAAGGGTCATCGAAGTTCACGATTTCCCCGATGATTAGCAGGTATCGCGATCTTTCGGGGAGATACGTATGTGCATGCATGTATACTCTGCTGCGCCGGGAGACCGTAAAACGGCACGGTGTATACGCTAGTGCTTCCGCACTTGAAACATCTTTCTTTTAACCGGGAATCGACTCTCTCCCTGGCAATGAACTTGCTCAAGGAGCGTTAGTGTGTCCGCGGCTACGACATCGGACAGTCCGTGCTCCTTCTCTCGGCTTGCTTTTCTCACGCCTTTCGCGACTCTCCGGCTATCTCGGCTGAACAAGTCGCGATCCGTCAGGCGCACCATGCTCTTCAGATTCGGGATCTTTGTTGGCCTGAGCTCCGTGGTCACGACCATTATTTATTTCACGCCCATACCAGGTGAGTAAAAGGTCCAATACTAAGGAAAATTAAATAAATCCAAAGCAAAAACGTCCATTTTGAAGTATAGGAACATGAGATAAAACCATACCTGTACCTCACTCGTGAGAGCAATCTTCTTTGTTTACCGCAAAGCATTCAGCTTTGTAGTTTGAAATGTCGAACCAGTTCAAAAGTTCATGCTGTGCGGCTTTATTTGGCATAGCTTTCGGCAATATTTCCGGAGGAAATAAAAGAGAGAAGCAACTACTGATAATGAAACACTGTATACATTATCTTGTTTTAAAATCTTTAATATTTAAAATCTTTAATAATCTGCATAAACTTATATATGTATATGGATTATATTTATTTAGATAAATATTATTTTTATATATATTTTACTTAGATGTTACTATTCTATTTCTTTATCATAATCTACTTAAAAGCAAATATAAATTTGATTTTCTGCCTAATTGATTCAAATATAAATTTAATAAGTCCAAATATGTTCAAACATTCGAAAGTTTTTCTTATATTTTCACTATAAGTAATAAATAGAAAGGACGCTCTTACGTCAATTAATTATTTATATGGCACATTATTTGTATAAATGATAAATGATTTAATAATTAAATGACAAAAAAATCCGAAAATAGACAACTGATTTTTTAGCACCAATCTATTTATGTTAATTAACTCTCTGTCTACATTTTATAATACGTTATATAATTCCAGTTATTTTCTCTAAAATGAATTTAAAAAGGGCACAATGCAGAAATATCAAACTAAGGCTGCGTTCTTTTTGACGCTTTCGTTGCATATCGAATATCAAACAAAGATAGAGTGATGTGTTTTCAGCGCTGAAAGCGTCAAAAGGAGCGCAGCCAAAATATCAGCTTCTATCGGTATTTCATAAGTATTAGTTTCTAAAAACAATTTTTTTTCCCTTATATCAAAAAGTACGTAAACAGATGTGATATAAGTAGTGGTATAAAAGACTACAATACAGCCATAGTAAATAATATAATATAATACTATATATATAAATAATATATATATATAGTAAATAATATAATGCTGATTTTAAATTTACATTTAAGCTAGTTTAAAGTGTCAACAACGTATACAACCCAGTATTCTCATATGCCGGATCGTGTAAGTTGTTGACTTTAAACTGGCTTAAATGTAAATTTAAAATCAGCATATTGTACATATTTATATTATATAAATGCATTGACATTAATTATATTAAATTGTTAAGTTATTTCTCACATGATTTACAGTGTAGAATGTTTTTGTTAAAATTGCAGAGTACATTCCATTTTTTCGAAAGTTTCGAGATAAAATTTAAAAGTATACACATATAGGTTATTTTTTATTATTGACAAAACTATTGACTATGCTATTTGCGAAAGATTTCCAATATAGAAAGGAATATAGAAATTCTCCTCTTCCGAATCACGATATACTATTTAATATGTCCCCAAGGGTGCTTGAGATAGTGAAAAAGCGTTTTGCATGATTGGATCGAGTCTGTGCAAGAGGTGAATGACCTTAATCAAAATTTACAGTTATGCACATATGTATGTACATACATGCAACTCTGTTACTAACTACCCACTGCCAAGGATGCTGATCGCTCGCGGCTACATTTCTCAGATATAATGCCAGTGATAGTGTATAGTGTATGTCAACTCGAAACATATTGTACTTAACTGTCGTGTTTTCAGACATAATGTCATCAATCTTAACATCTGATAGAAAGCAAGTAGATAGGACCTTTTTAAAATATCAAGCAGAAAAAGGATTATTACTATTAACAAATAAAAGTATACAAAAATAATATAATTATTTAATAACATTTCTGTCATAAATATGGCTTTTTTTTTATCAACTGGCAGCAATTAAAGATTTTTATTTTTATTTGATACAAAATGTAAAATATTTCTATTTTGTAACGAAAAAATATCTTTGTTACATGTTTTTTTTTAAATAGAGCACAATTAAATAAATGTCCGCACATTTTACACGCAGAAATCGTATATTTTATATATAGTATTATTATTTTTATTTTTACCAGTTTTGTTAGTTGTTTGCCTTCACTTATATAAGAATGTAAAAGTTGTTTGCCTTCACTTACATACAAACGTATTTTTTAATTCTTTTGATGAAATGCACCGAAAAAATATGTTGCGTACACGTTTACATGCATTTAATTAATTCTAAAAATAACTCGAATGTCTCGAACGTCAGACAATAATTATATTATAACAAAATAAATTTAATTCTTTTTATAATTATTATATTGCATAATTATTATGTATACCTATATACACAATTTTCTTGATAATACAAGTACACATCGCTCTTATAAATAAATTGCAACTTTGGAAAAAATTTTATTACATTGTATTATTATTATTATATTAAATTGTTTTATTATATTTTATATTATCTTACATTATTTTATATTAATATTATTTTTATTATTATGTTCTATTACATATTTTGAATTATTTGCAAAACTGATAAAAAAATTATCGTTAGGATGAATGCAGTGTAAAAAAAAAATAATATAAATAATAATATGTGACAGAAATTTTGTTTATTATCA